TTACCCGGGGAAGTTGGCTGTTAAATTCTCCATGTGTTGTTAAGAAGATTTACCTCTGCGTGTTGTTTTAATATTTAAAACATCATAGAGTTTGAGTTGGGCAGGAGGAGGAAGTAGCAGAGGACTCTTGGGCTATTTTGGGTATGTCACAACCAAATCCTTGCAGGTTACGTCCAGCCATGGTGACTGCCCCATAATTTACGGAGAAAGTGTCTGTCAGCAATGGCAAGTCTGCCTGAAATGGGGCATTGGGGCAGGAGGAGGAGGTTAGACCTCTGCAATCACATTGCAAAGAGCACCCAGAAGTCTGGCCAGTGCCAAGAGAAGCAGAGCAAGCTCCCTGCCCTCTGTAGTGAAGACAGAATCAAAACCAACCAAAACAAAACAAAAAAAAAAAATCAAAAAATTCATCTTAATCATACAACAGCCCATAGCCCTATGCATCCTTAATAGCCTTCTTGTCCTATGTCCTCCTTTCCAAGAGAGTTTAGCTTTCTTGAAAGCCTCTGTAGTGGAAACAAAACCATTCAAATTAAAATCAGATCCAGTATGTTCTGGAGCAAGTTCCAAGCCACTGCGGCTGTACAGCAGAAGAGGAAACCAGGTTTGCAAGTAAGTGCAAAGAACATATAAATTAAGCCAATACTTGTGCCATAGACACTTCATCCATGAAAAATAGAGGTTAAGAGCTCAAGCATGCTTCCAATCAACTCCACATCCATATTGCAGGCACGTGATGACACCAGTAGCTAAGCATGGTATTGTCTAAGTAACAGCAGCAACCCCCACAGTTCAAACTGCTGATAAATCCTTGAAGCGGGCAAGAGGAAAAAGAATTTCAGCTGAATCCAAAGTACAGCAGAATGCCTTTATCAGAGCATGGGTGACTTGTCCTCCATTTTCATCCTAAAGACCCTTCTCTATTTATAATTCTTTGTCTGCTAATAATAGTATCCAAGCTCACCTGCAGAAGAATCCACCTGTCCCCAAAAAGCATATCCCTCACCTTGCTCTGAATTCCAACACACTGGGGCTGCATAAATCTAGGAAATAGTCTTTAAGATACTTTACACATTTCTCTTCACACAAGATATGCTCCTATTATGATTTTTTTCCACCCCCTCTACATTCCATGGAAAGTTGTCATTCCGTGCATAGCTTATAATGAAGTACAAATTTTTTCTTAACATTAGTCCCCTATGTAATTCAGCTGCTGCTATAGAAAGATTCCTTCATTGGATAAACACGTACAAAGCACTATAGGCAGAGACTTTACAGTAGCAGATACCAATCTTTCTTAATAAACAATACAGCATCTGTGCCCAGAAATAAAATGGTCCCAGAATGAACACTTCCCACAAGTACCTGTGGGACAAAGGTACCTCCCAACATCACTGGAGGGCAGGTACTACACCAAGGAGACCACTGCACCTCCAGGAAACACCAGCAAACCAAAGCAGTCAAGAACTGATGCGTCTTCACAACAAACCTTTTGTCACTATTTTCTGTATGCACCCATCTTGGCATTTTTTTTTCATGACCTTTATATTAAGTTCTACATGAGCTTTATGTTAAGTTAAAGATTTCCCATTTCCTTTTGGCCTTAGCCTCTCAAGCTCACTTCATTCAAAAGCCTTGACGAAGTTGGTAGTGAATCACTTGGTTAGATCTCAAGCAACAACTCTTATCTAAGATAGTACAAACATCTATGTCAAGGATCCCTTGGATCTTCGGTGATTGAACAGAGCCCTGAGGCACACACAGATTTCTAAAGCTTCTGTGTTTTCATCCACCTACATCCAATTACAAATTATGGATATTTTTCATATATTTTTCCAAACTTCATTGCTGGAAAGATTCAGAAAAAGTATGTAATACATTTAGAAAGGCATCTAATTAAGGATCTCAGGTATATACATATATGTATATAAAGTAGAAGTTGACAGCAATTAATATAAATTAAAAACAAAAATCCAAATAATTTGTAAGGGAAACAAAAAAAAGCAGATTTTAACTTTTTTAAATGAAGTTAAACATTACAATGCAGTAGGGTAAGAAGGGCTCAATACCATTTCTATTTATAGGAAAAAAAATGTGGTATCAATACTGTAAAGACAAGCTATTCTAAGTAACATAAAAATTGAAAACATCTTAAATAACTGTTTAGAAAACAGCTTCAGGTAACTTGAATCTATGTAGTTTCAAAAGTCTGTTCATGAAACTTTACACATGGACAACGTTGAACAAGTTTTATAACTGGGGTATTGAGAAAACAGCAGAAAGTTGGCATGTTAACATGAAGAACTCTAAAAGGAATGAGCTGAACACGTCTGTTAGCCTGACCTATATCTGGGACAACAGAATGATGGCTAATGCAGGACACAATTTAATAAAGTAGGCGTAATACGGTTAATAGGTTTTTGGAAAACTAATTGTATCACAGAAACTTGATCTTTTTAATGAGATTATGAGTTTGGGTGATAAAGGTAATAGGATGTTTATGTAATACAGCTCAGTAAAGCACCTGACTTCCTTACACATGATATTTTGATTAAGAAACTGTAATGAACAATCAACACGGCACACACAAAATGGATTTAAAATTCGCTATGCCTCAAAATACAGTTTTAAATGAAGTATCCTAATTAAAGAATTTTATCTGAGTCCTGCAAGAGTGAGGTCTTGGCTCTAAAATCTCAACAGCTAAAAATAGGATGAAAATATAATTACAATTTCATCAAATCTGGAAGTGATGAGACTAGAGAAAGGCAAATAACAATTAGGACATTTCACTAGCAGAGGAAAGATGGGAAAACAGGTTTAAATTCTCCAGGACAGGCAGTGTTGGGACTGAAGAAGTCCCCAGATGGGTAAAGAACAGTGGAGATGGTAGATCAACATTGTGGTAGTAACTATTGAAACATTTTATATTCAGCCCAACTACTCCAGAACAGCCATGAGAAACCAGAGAGCTTTAGAGAAAGCTGAGTGATTAAAATACATGTTGGTATGTTGAAAGGATCACAAACTATAAGGACTTTCATAAGAAAAACAAGCTACAGATTGGACTCTCTATTCCAGTCAACCAGGTACAACCAGATCTGACTGCTAGTGTCTGACCCCAGACCAATTAAGACTAAAAACGTGGTGAACATTTAAGTATTTCACTTAGGTTTTTTTCACTTAAATAAGTGCTTTTTCAGATGGTGGAAGTGACATGAAATGGATCCCACCCTAAATTATTGCTTGTATTCCCAATGGTCTGTAGCAAAACCAGGAAAACAGATGAGATGAAGCTACCGGATCCGATATGTATATGCATATATACATTTAATCAAGGAAAGGGGAAAGAAAAGAAAAAGTCAGAAAACACAGGGCTTGGCGTTTTTGGTCCTAGATAATGTTACATCATGGCTTATGATGCTCCTCTATAGCCACAAAATTCCGCATAACACTCCGTCTGTGAGAAATTCTACCTTTAGCCAACAGACAGATCTGGACACAACTTGACCCGAACCACCAGCACAATCCCAAAAACTTCTCCAGGAATTTATGCTGTCTCTAAAACACCAATTTCCACAATGCCGAGGTGACATTACAGTTTTAACAAAAGTAATGAACAGCATCAAAATAAACTAAAAGTTATATTCTCCTATAGATCCTACAGGATCTATGAGTACCACTAAATATTGCCTGTTATAAATCCAGCAGTCTCAAGAGAATCTCTACAGTTCTGTGAAAAAAAAATACCTTTTCCCCACCCCTGCCTTGGCTTTGTAATTCCATATGCACATTAGACCTACTTTTGAAAAGCAAAAGCCTTACTCTTCCCATCCTTTCTGAGCCAGCATTTCTAATTGTCATGGCAATATAAGAAGAAAAGAGAAAGATAATACTGTGGTTGAATTCGACTGGGTTTCGGTTTGTCTTTTAGTGTTTGTATATATAAATGAACAGTGACATTTCTCTGGTTTAAATTAATTGTGGTGGCCCAGACACATAATCCAGATCTGTTCTCTATTGCGAGATGGAAAGACAGGAGGGAATAAATGCAGAGATTAAAGTAGAAAAAGGAACTTTTTTTGTTCCCTAACTATTCCCTACTGTGGTTTCTCCTAAAACATCCTTTTCTACCGTGCTTATATGCTGTGTTGATGGTGAACTTTTTGGTGAATCAGTAACTTCTACAGCTTGCAGGGCATGAAAACTATCTCAGCTCAAGAGATCTCAGAAGGCATTTCTACAATGCAATTAATACCAAAATTAAACTAATAATAAGATTTTAACTACCTTTGGAAGGTTGAAACTGAACTGAGACTTTCCTGAACTTAAAAATTACACTTTAGCATACGCATAGCTAAGTGTTATTTTGACTTTCTTTGGTGTAATCATCTTAGAAAATTGTCCTCACCTGGATCCAGTTGGCGAACACATCTTGCCCTTTGTCCTCACCAAAACACATTTCTCTTTTTTAATTCTTCCACTGTACTTAAGAACAACTGACTCAAAACCCAATGGAAATAGTTGCCAAAATACTTAACATGATAAAGATAAAACCATTTCAGATTCTATCAAGTTAAAACAGATCTTTTCTTTCTCATATTACTTGTAGAAATAACTGCTTTTTACAGGAGAAAGTATCTTGAATCTTACTAGAGTAAAACCTTTTCAGATCTCTTTCAAATGTAAAGGGAGAATTCTATCTGGAATTATTCAAATAATTTTAAAAAATCCTCTATGGGAAGATAAAGTGAAGATCACTATGTAAAGATCAAGTGAGAAATGTTTGTCTCATAGGATTTTTCAAAAAACAAAATGCTCCATTTATATGAAAAAAACCTTTCAAATAAAATAATATTCTCATAGAATAGTAAATATAATATCTTAATGAGAGCAATCTGTACTATATGTTTCACAGTCCTGCTCCCATTTTCCTCTGGATTTAGTGACGCACAAATTGGCCACTTTCATTCCAAGCCACCCCTTAGCAAAGCACTTACCAAGGAAACCAAAACATCTGCTTTGCAATTCCTGCAGCAGAGAGGAATTGTCTGCAAGATGCGGTGGGCAGCTCTGAATCCAGGCAGGACCCAGCAGCTCCAGAGAAGGGAACCTTGCAGGAGAGCTGCCTGCGCCTGGATTTTCAATTACTGAAAACACCTGAAGGAATTATACTAATGAGCTACATTAAATAAAGCAAAGGGTAGTTAAAGACTCCCTTGCCTTATGAAACAACTCCAGCCTTCTTGTAAGGGGAAAAAAAAGCATGGAAAAAATTTCTCCTTCCCATCTATCAGCTGTAGTTTAACAAGTGCTCAACAACTCCCTGCATGGCTCAGACCTCACCTAGCTGAATTTACTCCACACTGAGCTGCTGCAGCAAAACCCTGGGAGAAACCAAGAGCCCTTTCCAAAATTCAGGGTAGGGACTTCGTGCTCTCAGTCACTGCCAGGTGCTGCATGTTACATTGCTCAACATCTGCAGCATTACAGTCCCCTTCCCCAAAAGGAGAGCTTTAATCCCATAGCATCTCTGTGCAGCACCCACTCATCCTGAACGTGGTCACATTTTATTGTTTCAAGGATAAAGATTGTTCAAGGCATCTGACGTTACGCCTAAATTATTCATCCACCAGTATTATTTATTCATTAGCTCCTGAGTTATCTTGCTTGGCTAAAGTACCTGGTTTCTATTACTCATAGAAAGAAAACATGCCATTTTCTCTGTTTTAATTGAGATTTTCTGACTCTTGCAAGGAGCTGGTCGCATAGTGCTAATACCTCATAATGCGTTTCGACAAAATTTGAACCAAAGAGCAATTTCTGCACGCAAGTGTGGAAGAGGCAGCCGCTGCTGCTGGGCACTGCACCTTAACTTGGGAAGGCCTGGCAGTGCTGAGCTGCTTGCAAATTACAGAGCGAGGGAAATATTGGATGTCTTTTATAGCTTAGGGCTATAATATTTTCCTTAAGACACAGCCAACGAGCAGACACTGCTTAAAGAGCAGGAAAGGAAAGTAGTTTTTGTAAGTGTGCAAAGTTGGAAAATGACAAAACTTCACAGGTTATGCGAAGCCCTCCCTCGGCAATAAAAGTATATTTTTGGAATAGAGAACTGTATCTAGAACGGTGGTGTTAGAACAAAGATGTTGTTATTTCTGCAGCTATGCAGGAGCTGTGTCCTCTGCAAAGAAGAACCCCATATCCCCAAGCTACGTTTAAGAGGAAAGTTCAATTGCAATGGAAAGGTGATCCCACTTGCACGTTTTGCAGAGATGCCACGCTGACCCAGTCTGAGCTTTTACAGTGGGGTTTGCTCCATATGGCTTGGAACCAGTATTGCCAGGATCAAGAAGGAGTCTGCAAGGTTTAACTCCCCAGTTCAGACATTTCTCCCACAGCTAAAAATTGGCTTGCAACGAAGGCTTTAGTCTGGGAACAATCTTTACCCACTTGAAGGAGACACCCCCCTCTTCCCCCACCCAACATCTTACTCCTAGGCACTGTCATTATGGTTATATAAATTGCATTTTATCAGTTTCAGCTGTTTTTTTCCTGGCTGTACATTAAAAACAACAAAAAAAAATCTTTTTAAACTGAAATCCTTCAAGGTTTACTAGCCAAATTTTGCTATCAGTTACACAGGCAGCCCTATTAATGTTAATGAGATGGCCGAATTTAACCAAGGGTAGAATTTGATCTTTACCCTATTATGTTGTAGGCCGTCTAGATATTTGTCTGTTTTAGCTTAAAATTTATTTAGCTTTTATATATATACATATATATATATAATGAAGAAGTTTTAGGAAAACATATTGCTAAATGCCAAAGGTATAATGGCACCAGTCTGAATATTGTCCTCTCCATGAAACTGGCCTCTGATGGTTGCTTCCAAAGAAGCAAAGAAGCCTTGAAGTGAGATATTATAAAACTGTTTGTCTGGAGAAAAATATTCTTAACTTGACCCTCTCCTGGCTTATGATCTAAAATAGAACTTCTTCCATTTACGACAGCTGAATTCTGCTGCCAAAAAGAAACACGTGCAGCTTGTGCCCAGCATCTTTCATTAATACAATTTCTAGATATATTTATGAGTCAAGGTACCATTGCTAGATATATAGATATATTTATAAGGAGGCAGAGGATGCCCAGGCAGCTTTAATCATGTCATCCTCTAGGTTGGAAGTGTTTGCAGCCATAATGATTCCAGAGTAATTTTTTGGTTTAATAAATGAGATTAGTGGAACCCAAGGAGTTCCTTGAACAGAAAGATGTATTAAACATGGTTTCCTCCCTCTTTCTCCAGGGTGGACTTTTCACTTTTTCATAGCTGACCTGATGATGCAGCTCTTTCCTCACTAATATGACTCTTCCATGGCTACCTACTTTCATTAAGCTTATAGGAAACGAATACCATGAGAACTGTTGCACTCACTAGTTAAAAGTGATGAGCAGTTTTAAAAGCTGTTGGGAAAGGACTGACACAAGTACAGACCACACAGTTGCACATGTCTGATATCCAATTAACAAACCCCAGTCATATGGTACCCTGCTGGCAATCTTGCCTTCACCACAGTGACCTGATGTCTCCTCATTTGCACATTGCATGTGCTCCTACACCAACAATTCTTCACATTTTTCTATCTCCTGCCACAACCTTTTACACCTTCCACTTGCTTTCTACTCTAGTCATTCCTTTACTGCCTATCCCTCCTTCCACACCAGGTCCTGTTACCTGTACAGGTGCTCTTTCTGCCCTTAGTGTCTCATCATTCCTCCCTACACTACTTACCTGGCTGGTCCTGATTAACATGAAGACTAAGAAAGATATGGCAAGAAAAGAGTCTTTGGCTAGCCTAAGAGCCTTGCTAACCAGGATTCCCATTCCTGACCTGAAACTAGATCCATTTCCCAAGCCAAATAAGACCTTGTGAAAGGGAAGGAAGCTCATTTCAGTGGTGAATCACAGGTCTGATCCTCCACAAAGCGACTCAATTCTACCAGCTAAATAAAGCCATGCAATATCATGTATCCATCGAGTACAACAGAAGACAACTGAGAATACTAGACCTGTGAAACTTGAAATCCATCTGAAAACCATCAAAGCAGATGTACTTCCACTGCAGCACACCACACAGTTCCAATGTGTGGCTTCTTCAGAGGCCACTTCCAAAAGACTTAATAACTAAAATCAGGGAAGACAACGCCAGTTGGGCTTGATGATCTTGGAGGTCTTTTCTAACCATAATGACTCTAAGATTCTAAGCAAAGGAGTGTTGAAACCGGTCCAGATGCCAGTTGGTTGCCCCATCCTACCACATGAGCCACCACTCTTGGCTCTGGCTTCTGTGAGAACAGACACTTAAAAGCTATGAGCTTTCTGAGAGTTATGCTATCCGCTCGTCTGAGATAAAATGGCCATAAAAGGAAGGTATGGACACCATGGCTTTTATAACCATATGGTCAAAACTACAGACGCATAATTTATGCAGCTTGAGGATAACAAACCTGGGCTTCTATATGCCAAAACAAAGAAGGAGACTTGGCTTCAGCCTATGGGCATAAACAATGTCATGTCTTTATTTCTGGGAAATAAACATTATAAGCCGTGATACTAGTCCTAACAAAAGGAGTTTGTCAAACAAGTTCTACAGCAACTTTATTTTTTAGTTTACAAATATGTGAGAGGTGAATTCAACATAAATTTGAGAGAAGGCTGAGGACTGCTAGCACACTGTCTGGAGCCCCGGAGAAAAGCAAATGAAGCAAAGTTCAGAGTTAGATATATACATATCTGTGTATATATATGTATGTCACATATATAAACATAGACAAAAAGAATTTATTCAAAGACTGTTAAAATAAGGCTGACTTTTACTATTTCGTGCTATAAAAGTTGCAAAAACTTCCTGGTGACTCCTTCCCAAGAGCAAATGCTTTTTGCACATCAATCAGGCGGTGCCAGCTCAGATGTGAACGGGGACTTCTTGGTTCAGCTTGCAGCTGAAGAACCTGGAAAAGTCACTAAGGTTTTGAGCATGTTGCAGCTGGGATAGCATACTCGCAATCCTAGAGCAGATGGAGCATCCCATACCAGGTCAAACGTTGGCCTCAGACAAGGAGGTGTGGTGGCTTTTTGGAAATGCCAAAAATGCCAGCTGGGCTAGATGAAAAAGCCAGACTGGCTTGCAAATATAATTCATTTTTCCCAGCTCCTGGCAAATTAAAAGAATAAAGCTGGGTTCATTTTAGCTGAGGAGGAAAATTGAAACCATGCACTGGTGCTGGGCTGCTCCCCTCAGCTCCTAGGACAAGCCCCACCAGTGTCCAAGCGTTGGGACCCACCAGCTGGAGCTCACTTGGTCCCAACACCATGTGCTGAGACCAAAGCACTCAGTACATATGGCAAGGGGTAGCAGGAAGGTCTCCACCATCTCCACTCCAATGCGTTGGTAGAAAGTAGTGTCAAAATAGTAAAGTGCCTTCAGAAGCGATGGTGCTTTTGACCCCAACTCATGCAACAGTTCACAACTTCACAAGGGCAGAAGTTATCTTACCATCAGATGCTCACCACATTTATATTCATCTTAGCAAATCCAGGATTGGCCACAGACTTGCTACATATTTTATGATTTACCAGAATCTGCTTTGGTCTCAGAGACCTAATTCTTCTGTTACACATATCACCCATCTTCTGGCAGCATAATTTACATCTCAAACCGGAATAATTTTGCATACTTTTCATTTTAGTATTCTGACATCTTAAAAAAAAAAAGCCTTAATTCTGAAGAGTAAATTATCATCAACCTTGGGAAAAAAAAAGTCCAGAAAGCTATTAACGCTCTATTTCTGTGTAGCTGTCTGTATGATTTGGGTGTCTTTCAGCTCTGCATAGCACTATTTTCACCCAAGTTTTGTAGAGCAGGCAGAATTCAAAACAAGATCGGCACCAGGAGGTTCACAAGCACGTTGAATGGAGAACTTGAGCGCGCTCCCAAGGGACTCAAGTGCAGACCTGTGTTTACTCTTGGCCTTTCCTCC